GGGGAGCTCTTTTTGATAACGTGAGGACTAAGGAATGATATGGTCATATCATTGATCAGACAAAGACACTAATTTTTTTCCAACAAAAAGAAGAGAAACGCGAAAATCAAATATGTTGTAATATAGATAAACATAGAAACCGTAAGGAAAATGGAGAAACTGATCATCAGCGATCAGAGGTACAAATTAGAAAGAAGAGTATTCGAAAACAAAATAACATAACAACAAAGCATTTTGTTTTTTTTGGAATTAAAACAGAAACGCGGATGCATTTTGATGATCACGATACAGTTAATTAGATGTAACTGTATCTTCTTGGTGTCCTGAATATGTCCAGAGCAGCCTCTCTTCCTCGTGCCTCAATCTGAGCACGAAGTTGAGCTGCAAGAATCTGCTCATGAGCTTCATTTACTGAATTTATCGTTTCCACTGTTGGATTTGGATTTGGATTTGGATGTGGACTTGGACTTGGACGTTGCTGTCTGGGAAAAACACCAACTTCAGGACTAATTGCACATTGCAAGTGCGATGCAAAATCACAACCAGCGCAATAGTACAACCAACTTTCCCTGTTCATTATGACATTGCAGATATCACAAACATATACGGTATTCTTATCTTGGTAAGGAGAACCGAAGAGGAGCCCCAATTGATGAGGATGTTTGTCAACAAGTAATGAGCTTGGACAAGAAGCACATTGCAAGTGAATATCAAATTCGCAACAAGCACAGCTAAAGCAAGATCCAATATTGCCAGCAGAGCCACAAGCATTGCAAGTATACGAACGACTCGAGTAAGTTGGAATTGGGAGAAGGGTCAAGGGGTGAGAAGGATGAGATGAATGATTGAGAAAACGAGGAGCGTTGGAGCAGTTTTCATGTAGGAAATACTGGCAGCTATTGCAGCCATAGAATGGCTTATTACTATTGCTTGGTTTCTCACAAGCATTGCAAGTGAGAGTTTCAACTTCAGCTGGATTGACAGGTTTCAAGACGTGGGGATGGCTGAAATGTTGTTTACTTTCATCTGTATTCTGATTCTGTCTTCCCATTGATTTTCCTTGTAATTTTGTTGAGTAAGTGAGTAACAATAACCTAAGGGATATGTTGGAGAGTTAGCAAGTTCAGTGATTACACTAATTTCGTATTTGTATTTATAGCGATCTACAACTACTATAATAATAGCAACTTGCCCACGTTTCTTTTTCCTTCAACGACTTTGCTTTCATATATTTTTTCCTTTACTAAGTCGTCTCTGCGACAACAATATAATTTGTCCAATTGCTATGCAAAAGTATATCTAAAACAGCGGTAGCATTTTGACTGACTTTGCTGTAATTAACCACTGGTTAATAAAATGCAGAGCATCGTATATAAATATTGAGTTAGACTAATTAAACATTGCCCCTTGTTTGTTTTCGAAGTCAATGCTTAATGTATTCACAACTGCTTAATTTCCTTTTTCATTTTCTTCTGGCTTTATAGGTAGTGGTGTGTGATATGAATAGTAAGTTAAATCCTCCGCAATTTCGGCAATTCCAAGTTGGCATTTGATCATTGTTGCTGGGAAAAGGGCCAAATATACCCAGTATATTGTCTATATTTAACCTCTGTTATATTATCCGGTAAAAATTTATCCCTATCGTTATACTATCCGACCAAATTTATCCCTGCCATCAACAAACTTTTAAAAATTTACCCTTTGATTTGTTAGGTAATCCAAAATCTCCCAATTTTCTTTTATTTAAATCACTTGTTGTTTTCTTGCTCCAATATCTTCATAAATTACTATTGGTGTGAAAGCTAAAGGTACTAGATTATACAAATTATTCATGGATAATTTTAATTACCATTGCACCCACTTCTCTTCTTGTGATAATGGGTTTGAAATTGGTTTAAAAGTTTATTTATTTTTCAACCATATACATACCATAGAATTTAGTGGATCTTTTATTGTGTATTATATATAGCTGCTCATCATGTATGTACATGTATATTTTTTTATTGTCTAGTTAGTTTAAAGTTCAATTGACTAACTTTAGAGTGCACAATGCGTAGATATTTGATTAAAGCAAAATTGAATTCGACAATTTAAAGTCTCCAAGGAACTTCAACTAATATCACTAATATTTGTAAAGTCTACGTACCTTTGGTGCAACGTTCATTAAAGTTGGGGTGTTATAAATACTTTTGGAATTTAGACAAACTACCTAATTTAGATTCTACAATTACTATACTTTGTTTACTAACCGTTATATTATTTTAATATTTCTTTTTTTTTTCAATTAAGAAAGCATGTAAATGTCAACTATTTCGAAAATAGTGGATCAAAAAGAAGAATAAATGACTTAATTAAAATAATTTGGGAGATTCTGAGTCACCTAACGGATTGAGGGGTAACTTTTAAAGTTTGCTGATGGTAGGCAGTGGCGGAGCCACCTTATATGAAGGGGTGTCAAATGACACACCTTCGCATGAAAAATACACTGTGTAGCTAGGTAAAAAATAAATTATATGTAAATATACTATGTATTGACTACATTTAATTTCCTGGTATGTTTACTTTTATATATTTTGACACCCCTTAACGAAAATTCTGGCTCCGCCATTGATGGTAGAATAGTATAACGGTATGGATAAATTTAACCGAATAGTACAACGGAGGTTAAATTTAGATAATATTTGAAAGTAGAGGGATAAAAGAACGAGAAAAATAATTGGGAAAGTTTCATAATATACCCATTTGTAACACTCGCTTTCACGATTATATCAAATATTCAAAAAGTATTGTACTCTATATACCTCCAAATATTCTTACATATTCTAAAACATACCTCAATATCCTAAAACTCTAATTTCCTCCCTTCCACCCATCAAATTCCCTTCTTTTAGCTTTTCTGGTTTCATGATCTTTTATTTTGGCAAAACTGCAGCTTTAACCCTTGTGTTATAGGGCTAGTGCATATGTTAGTCCGATTCTCAGTTGTTGTGCACAAATCATGTGTGGAACACTGTTGCAATGACGGGGTTAAGAACGAAAAAACTAAGGCTTAAAGATAGGGAAGAACTTATTTTCACAACTGTGCATGATTAAATTTTGAAATTACTTTTATTATTATATGCCGAAGTTCAAATTGCTCCTATTTTACTTTTTTTCTTTTACTTTGAAATCTAATTCTGTTTGTCACCTACTATTTTATTTTAATTATCAGAAATTTATTATTTTTTTAGTGTGAACATTGGCAACTTATTGAAGTTACCTGATATAATTTGTTAATAGTAGCTGTTAATAACATTTGATTTTGAAGAAAGTATCTGAAAGAGAAATAATTTAATAGAGTATTTATTTTTGCAATTAAACTTGAACGTCAAAATATAAGGCATAAGGTGAAGTTTAACATTTACACAGTTAAAAGTAACTGTATCTTCGTGGTGGCCCGACCAAGTCCAGAGCAGCCTCTCCTGCTCGTGCCGCAAACTGAGCACGAATTTGAGCTGCAATAATCTGCTGATGAGCTTCATTAGCTGCATTTATCATCTCCAATGTTTGATTTGGATTTGGATTTGTGTTCGGATTTTGATTTGGAATTGGACGCTGCTGTCTCGGGAACACACCAACTTCAGGACTAATTGCACAGTATAAATGAGATGCAAAATCACAACCAGCGCAGTAGTAAAGCCAATTGTCGCAGTTCATTATTACATTGCAGACATCACAAATATATACGATACTCTTATCATCGTAAGGAGAACCGAAGTGGAGCTCCAATTGATGTGGATGTTCGTCAATAAGTATTGAGCTTGGACAAGATGCACATTGCAAGTGGATATCGAATTCGCAACAAGCACAGCTAAAGCAGAATCCATTACCAGCAGAGCCACAAGCTGTGCAAATATAGGAACGGATCGAGTAAGTTGGAATTGGGAGAAGAGTCAAAGGATGGGAAGAATGAGATGAATGATTGAGAAAACGAGGAGCGTTAAAGCAGTTTTCATGAAGGAAATATTGACAGCTATTGCAGCCATAGAATGGCTTATTACTAATGTTTTTTCGCTCACAAGCATTGCAAGTGAGAGTTTCAGCTTCAGTTGGATTCACAATTTTCAGGATATGGGAGTGGCTGAAGTGTTGTTTACCTTGATTTGTTGAATCTGTACTCTGATTCTGTCTTCCCATTGATTTTCCTTGTAATTATACTGAAATAAGGAGTAATCAATAAGAGGGTGGTACAGTAGAAGTATTGGAGAGCTAGCAAGTTCAGTGATTACACTAATTCGTAGTATTTTTATTTATAGTTATTTAACTAATAGCAACTTAGCCACGTTGTTTCCTTCGACGACTTTGCTTTCATTTTTTCCCCCTTTATTAAGTCGTCTATTGGAATAACTTGGCCAATTGCGACGCAGATGTCTATTTAAACAGCTGTAGAATATTATCCAATGGTTACGAAAATTAAATGGCATATTTTGACTTTGACTAAACTTTACCTTCTTGTTTGTTTTTTGAAGTCAATGCTTGAAAAGACTGATTGGTGAAGGATGTATTCACCACTGCTTAATTTCCTTTTTCATTTTTCTTCTTAGTTCTCTCTGGCTTTATAGGTAGTAGTGCGTGATACGAATAGTAAGTTCAATCCACCGCAATTTCGGCAAATTGGTAACTTTGGAAGTCAACAATATTGAGAGTCATGGAATTCGGTGGCAGTCCACATTTAGACTTATTCTAATCTGTAATTCACATTTGAACTTCGTTCTTGTTAGGATTTTGTCGGATTTACTTTCCATATTTAAATTTTACCTTTTCTTGAAGGAAGAAAAATAATATACCATAATTAATTTTTACTTTTATGAAAAAAAATATTGAGCTCTTTTATATTTGACAGATAGAAAAGTCTGTCATGTTCTGTATATGCAGAACTTGAATACTCTTTTATGAAAACAACACGACTATAGTTGACAAAGCATATAAAAGCTATTTTCGCAAAAGCCTCTCAGCCAACAATCTCTTATAAGTGCTTTTACTACTGTAAAACTGGCCTTAGGCATACAATTATCCATATTATAAGAAGAATATAATCAGCATGTTAGTTTAAAATACACTTTGGTGTCAAGACTTGAATGTCTAAAGGCTTGTGAGCACCCTTTGAGGGATGATTGGGATTGCTGTGTAATATTTTTCAACTTTTGAATCTTCACTTGGATTATTGCTTCTATGATAAGAATTTCTTGTGTTTGAGTTTTCTCCCTCTTAAATCCTCATAGTTCTAAGTTAAGGTTGATATTTGAGCACAGGGTTTAAGTTTTAGCTAGCTATTTGGATTTGTAGTCATTTCAAATTTTTAATCCATTCTCCACTGGAAAGGGGTCACGTACGACGGATGAAAAATGATGTTTATAGTGCAAACAACAAACTAGAATCCGATTTATTTAGTGTCTTAAATTAGTTAAATCGTTATTCGGAGAAACAAACATATGAATGTGCCAGTAAAATACACTACCAGTTTTTTTACCCGACAAAAAAAAAGAATACCAAACAGCTGTAAATAGATAAACATAGAAACTGAAAAGGAGATGAAGAAACATGTCCACCAACATGAATAGAAGACATACAAGAGCTGAAAGAAAAGGTATTCCAAAAAGAAACAACATAAGAACAAAGCATTTATTTTGCAGAAAACTTGAATTCAAAGTGGATGCATGGGATGATCAAGATATAAAAGCAGTTAGTACTTAGTAGTAAGAGTATCGTCGTGATGGCCCGTCAATGGAGTCCAGAATAGCCTGTCGTGATCGTGCCGCAATCTGAGATTCAAGTTGAGCTGCCATTAGCCGCTCATGAGCATCATTAACTGAATTTATCATCTCCACTGTTGCATTTGGATTTGGAATTGTATTCCGGTATCGATTTGGATTTGAACGTTGCTGTATGGGGAAAACGCCAACTTCAGGAGTACTTGCACACTGTAAGTGCGATGCAAAATCACAACCAGCGCAATAGTACAACCAACTGTCCCTATTCATTATGACGTTGCAAATATCACAAACATATGTGATATCCTTATCATCGTAAGGAGAACCGAAGAGGAGCTCCAACTGATGTGGGTGTTTGTCAACAAGTATTGAACTTGGACAAGATGCACACTGCAAATGAATATCAAATTCGCAACAAGCACAACTAAAGCAAAATCCATTGCCATTAGAGCCACAAGCCTTGCAAGTATAGGAACGACTTGAATAAGTTGGAATAGGGAAAAGGTTTAAGGGGTGAGAAGGATGAGATGAGTGGTCGAGAAAACGAGGAGCATTGAGGTAGTTTTCATGGAGGAAGTATTGGCAGCTATTGCAGCCATAGAAATTAGGCTTGTTATTATTGTTTGGTTTTTCACAAGCATTGCAACTGAGAGTTTCAGATTCTGTTGGATTCACCAGTTTCAAGTTGTGGGGGTGGCTGAAGTGTTGTTTACCTTGAGATGTTGCACCTGTCCCTTTCTCTCTTCCCATTTTCCTTTTAACTTTGTTAGAGAAGTAATCAATAAAGCGTGTACGATGGATATATAATTAACAGAGAGCGAGCAAGTTTTCAGTGAGATTACACTAAATCGTACTAGCCTTTATAGCTATTTTACTGCATATGATAATAGCAACTTGGAATTTTGAACTCTTTTATTCTTTTCTCAACTCATCACCGGCAACAGTTAGGCCAATTGCTATACTAAATTTCTGTCTAACCAGCTGTAGAATTTTGACTGACTCAGCTGTTATCCAATGTCAACTAAAATGGCAAGCATCTCGGCATTTTGACTTTTACTAAACGTTGCCTTCTTGTTTGTTTTTATAGTTTAAATCTTGAAGGTTTTTAAATTATTAGTCCATTAGAGTTCAAGTTGTATGGATGGATTGATGGTACAATAAATATTAATATAATCATTATGATACTAGCTGTACTAGTTTTCGTTTTTCTCTGTAGTTGGTGTTCGTGGCTAATATATATAAGTACGGACCTGTTATAGCAGGTTATTATTTTGCATTCGATCTTCATTAATAATTCATGTAGACCAGTTCAAATAAATCTCTTTCATTCTTCTGGACGTTGAAGTTCTGATTATATATTGGAACGTTGAAAACTAACTTACTAAACGAGTGGACATCTGAATTCATTATTTAGATCGTATACATTAGAAAGTCTATAAGTTTTAGGCTAAAAGGATGGTTGGAATGACGAGCACTGTCTTTTGCGCTACAGAGCTCGTGCATTTGAGTCGCGCACAAAGTAACTTTCCATTATTTTTAATGTGCATTTAAAAATTTCTGTGATGTAAGTGTAAAAGGTAAAAACAAACAATCAATTAACTCATTAATTCAATTTTCTGATCAGAATTCTTAAAAGTTGAAAGTTGGAAGATTTGATGTAAATAATTTACTTTCCACTACACCCTTCATAGTATGTCTAATAAAAGTCAAAAGATTTTATGTGCTCGTTGGAGGACAAAATGCGGGAATCGAGACTTAAATGATTTGGATATGTGAAGCGGCCGGAGGAGTACAGATACCCTAGTAAGGAGGTGTAAAAGGTTATCCTTGGTGGGTCTTAGGAGATGTAGAAATAGGCCAAAAAATTATGAGTAATTTACATTGAATACAACCCTTTAAAGACTTATTTATATTCCCTACAACTGTTTTTACAAAATTACTTTTAGTACAATTTATTATAAAAACTTATCTTTTTAATCATATCCTAAAATCTTTCTCTTGAGATTCTCTCTCACTTAAAAGATATCTCTTTCTAATTCTCTCTCACCTAACGTATCTATTACTATCAATTTTCCCCCCAATTTCTCCGGTAAAAGATATTTCAGTATATCACAAGCGTCTAACCCCCTTTTCTTTGTCCCATATATTATGTGTAGGTCAAAATGCAAAGAAATACATTGCTCAAAAAATCATGGACACTGATGGTAGAAACAATAACCGGATTGAAGAAATTTCAGAATCATCTGTTGAAAGAACCAATTTTTTTGTCAATATCCCATAGTTCTGGTGCACCAACATCGCATACCAACCATCACCCTCATTCTAATTATCAACAAGTTGCATATGGAAAAAAGAAAGATAAAAGGATTTCCGAAAAAAAGCACGTTAGAGATGAATCTGTGAAGAAAAATTGATCTTTTTTCTTTTACACCCATGGTGTTCTTTTTCTTCATCTTTTCCCCCCCTTTTGTTTCTAGTAAATTCACTCAATTGTTAAATAGATAAAAATTGACATTTTTGAATTTGTTATGAAATATATATTTATATGGACGTCCACTAACCAAATATAACTCATACTACTCTTCTCAATTATATAGATAACTTCCACTACTTCTTACTATTATGGTTGTACTCCCACACCTCCATATCCTCTTCTATGATCTTCCCTCATGATCTCAATAGTTAATACCATGTTCATGACATCCCTTTGTATTGCCTCAATATCATCCTATAAATAGAGGATTTGGACATCACATTGTACACACTTGAAAACTACTTGATGAAATAAGAAAGTTCTCTCTTCCTCTCTACATCTATTGTTTATTTTATTATTTCATATTGTTACTTTGAGCTTAGTTTCTTTAACATGTTATCAATACGAATCTTTAACCAGGAGATATGAATGGTCGACAACCTTGAATCAATTTGGTTGAACCAATGGAAACATGTGCATTATTACGTATGCCATATTAATGTTCTGTTTGCTTCTATTGTTCGGGGAGTATTATTTTTCAATCATACCATGAATTACATGTTTAATTTATGAAAATTTAAGACTTGATGTAATTTTGTGTTACTCGGCCATTTAGTTTCATTTGTGCAGGAAAATAAGATGGTTGGATCAAGAATGATCATTTGTATAATTCTAATGATGGTTGCCTTGATTAAAGAAAATTACTAAGGTACAAGTAGAGCACCTCTGCTTTCAAATGGAAAACAGGAGGTATGATCTCATGAGCCTTATTTTCTGATGGCATAAGACAATATTTTAACTAAATCAGTATTATTACGAAATGGAATTCTGATTATATGGTTACAAAACCAAAAGGTTTTTCAATTATACTTTGTTTTTTTTTCAAATATAATTTATGAGATGCATATTTGGTTGACATAGAGTGAAAATACAGTATATGAAAATTTCTTTTCACGAGTATTTTCTTTTAATGCACTTATTTATTTGGCAACTCTACGGAACCATTTATTTGTTTCAGTATGAAATTTGATTAACTATACGTTTCATAGCATGAAAGACTAAGTAGGAATATTATGTGAATGTATGAGAAATAGATTGAATATTATGACGTATTTTGCTATGTCAATTTTAATTTTATCTTGGCTTACTAAATTGACAAAGTAGCTTATCTACGATCCTTGCATTTCAATGTAGCTAACTGTTGCATATAGCTTTCTCTTGTATAGCAATAATCTTTATATATGTTCTTATTGTTATGCATATAATCACGTAGTATTAATATTTTTAAAGGTTTGAGGGTGAGCCCCTAAGCATTTTGGCCCAATATGATATTTGTTAAGGGTGAGACGGTGGATTTAAGTTTCAGCGCACCATGAGGGTAAGATATCGGGTTCGACCCCTGATACTCCATGATGGTAAGAGTTGGGTTCGTATCCTAACTACATATGGCCTAACATGCCTTTATATGCATAAGACATTGGGTCTGAGTTACAATGCACCATATTGATGACTAAAGAAAAATAATATATTTTTAATGAAAAAGGATGAAGCTTGTCCCACTTGAACTCCATTCTTGAAGTGAATGTGATAGCAATGCATAATAAATCTAAATGTAGACAAGTGGTTGACCAATGATCATGTGCGTGAAGGCAATGTTTACCATCAAATTGGTATGGAAAAATAATAAAGCACATCGCGATGATTATGATCAATTCCTTGAAGAGAATGTGACTTGTGATAAGCATTGAGAATGCAGAGCCATTCCTGATGGTAAATGTGGCGAATGTGATAAACGTAATGAATAAAGACGTGTAATGTATGATTGGATCAATACTGCACAACTTACCTCTACGGTAGGTTTGAGTGAAATAAAGAGAATGAATTTTATTGTGTAGCTACATGAATATACGGTACCTCAAAAATATTTTGGCATGTGTGATGACCCAAAATGTCATCTTTAAATTTAATAATTAATTCTGTATTCTAAGACCTCGTAAAGCACTATTTATCATTCCTCGACTTGCATGCGCAGTCCGTAAAATTTTTCGTAAAGTTTTCAGGTGAAAAATGGATTAAAATGTGAATTAGAGCTTTCAAACTCAATTGAGTTGACTTTGGTCAATATTTTGAGCAAACGGACTTGGATTAGTATTTTGACAGTTCCTGTAGGTCCGTATCGTATTTTGGGACTTACACGTATGCCCGGAATCAAATTCCGAGGTCTCTAACCCGAGATATGGAATTTTGATTTAAAAAATTAAAAGTTTAAGTTTAAATAGTGATCGGATGTTGAATTTTGTATTCTAAGACCTTGAAAAGCACTATTTATCATTCCTCGACTTGCATGCGCAGTCCGTAAAATTTTTCGTAAAGTTTTCAGGTGAAAAATTGATTAAAATGTGAATTAGAGCTTTCAAACTCAATTGAATTGACTTTGGTCAATATTTTGAGCAAACGGATTCGGATCAGTATTTTGACAGTTTCGGTAGGTCCGTATCGTATTTTGGGACTTACGCGTATGCCCGGAATCAAATTCCGAGGTCTCTAACCCGAGATATGGAATTTTGATTTAAAAAATTAAAAGTTTAAGTTCAAATAGTGATCGGATGTTGAATTTTGTGCAAACGGCCTTGGAATAGAATTTTGATGATTCCAACAGCTCCGTATGGTGATTTTGAACTTAGGATCATGATCGAAATTTTATTTGGAATTCCGTAGTGAAATTAGGTTTGAAACGGCTAAAATAGGAATTAAAAGTTTGGAAGTTTGACCGGGGAGTTGACTTTTTGATATCGGGGTCGGAATTCAGTTCTGAAAATTTTCACAGCCCCGTTATGTCATTTATGACTTGTGTGCAAAATTTGAGGTCAATTGGACTTGATTTGATATGTTTAGACATCGAATGTAGAAGTTGAAAATTTTAAGTTTCATTAAACTTGAATTGGAGCATAATTCGTGGTTTTAGCGTTGTTTTATGTGATTTGAGATTTCAAATAAGTTCGTATGATGTTTTAGGACTTGTTGGTATATTTGGTTGAGGTCCCAAGGGCCTCGGGTGAGTTTCGGATGGTTAACGGATAAAAAATGGGACTTAAACAGCTGTGCAAAACGATGCTGCAAATTTTCTTCTGCTGTGCAATCGAGCCAAAAAATCGAAGGCCAGAAATCGAGCCCGAAAATCAAGCCCAGAAATCGAGTCGAGGATCGAAGGCAGGCTCGAGAGCCATGATCGAAGGCAAGGTACCGGGGCCATGATCGAAGGCTAGCTCGAAGGCCACTGATCGAAGGCCCAGGATCGAGGGCTATGACCAAGGCCAGTGCTCGAAGCCCATAAAGATCGAAGCCATGATCAATAGCCAGGATCGATGGCTGTGATCGA